TAGTAGTAGTAGAAGCAGTAGTAGTAGTAGTAGCAGTAGTAGTAGTAAGCAGCATTAGTAGTAAGTAGCAGCAGCAGCAGCAGGAGCAGTAGTAGTGGAGTAGGAGTCGTAAAAGTAGTGGTGGTAGTAGTAGTAGCAGTCGTAGTAGTACTAGTACTAGTACTAGTAGTAGTAGTAGTAGTAGTAGTAGTAGAAGTAGTAAGCAGTATTGGTAGTAAGGAGCAGCAGCAGCAGCAGCAACAGCAGCAGCAGTAGTAGTAGTAGTAGTACTAGTAGTAGTAGTAGCAGCAGCAGCAGCAGTAGTAGTGCTAGTACTAGTAGTAGTAGTAGTAGAAGTAGTAGTAGCAGTAGCAGTAGCAGTAGCAGTAGCAGTAGTAGTAGTAGTAGTAGTAGTAGTAGTAGTAGTAGTAGTAGTAGTAGTAAGCAGCATTAGTAAGTAGCAGCAGCAGCAGCAGTAGCAGTAGTATTACGCGGTAGCAGCTGTAGCAGTTGGAGTGAGAGCGGCAGCAGCCAATACCAACACTAGAAGCCGAATTTGGCCGTTCTTGTGTTTGCTGGTGCGCCGTATTGACTAGTCCAGTGTGTTTTGAGCTTCAGAACGACAGGCCTCCCGTAGTGTTGTTTTCCAAAGCGGTCTGGGGGAGGGGGTTGAACACACTTGTTGGGTTCCTCGCAGTTCTACGGACTCAAACGCGCATGATTGTTGCAGCTTAGTTTGTCTGAAATCATCGGCCCTTCATGGCAGTAAGTGACGAAGCAATCTTTTCACCGGGATTGCCTGAGCAATGCAGCCCACACAGCATGCAGTCTCCACCAGCTACAACGCATACACCACATTCACACGGCAGGCCAAGCCCTCCGGCGTACAGCTAGACAACACGAGTTAGAAACAATCCCATGAAGGAATTCAGTCTTCCTGTTTGGATGGGGTCTGGGCAAGTAGCTCATCTCCGGACGGGTGCCTGTACTGCTCATATTCGCCCGCCTGGCGGCAAGCCAAGTTGGGCAAGTCCGACTAAGGCAAATATTGTAGCTTGCAAGTTTGGGAGGCTAAGTCGGTACATTGCTGCAATAAAGCAACACCTTCGCAGGTTGCACGTTGAGTTGATGAATGAAAAGACAAGGGACATGTATTCAAAGGCAAACGTCTTCAAAGGGAACGAATTGCTATTGACCCAATGGCTGCTAGACAATTCCTGCTTATTGAGCATGGCATAGTTTGCTGCTCAATCTGTCTGTGCTCTTGCGAGTCAAGCATAGGGAAGGCTGCAAAAAGGGGTATCCAGGGTCCACACCCATACATGTTTCCTCACAGCACCAGAGAGCTCCTGGCTTTGTTCGCACCAGGTCCGCGAGGGTTTCCCAACTCAATTATTGCGCCTTGAGCTCTGCCCTGACCCGCTGAGTCATGTGGCAAGCGTTCATCAAAGGGCTTCACCATGCGAACGTGTGGCACCGGAGCACAGCTCAAAATGGACAAAAACAAGCCCAGTCTTGGCAGAAAGGGAACGTTGGTGCTCCGCAAAGCCAAGTGCGCAGGACATCCCACTGAGAGCCCTGTCAGCCGGCTGTTTGCCTTCTGCACGGCTGTGTGCTCCTTGCGGCAAACGAGATTGAAGCTTGGAGCGTCTATCAAATTTGCTCCATTCCAGCAACCAACTCCTCAATCGTGTCTTGCCGAGCTCAAAAAACACAAAGTGTTTGCTGTGCTCCCTGTCATGCAGCACCGCGGGCGGCCCCGAGAAGGCTGTATGCAACAGCAGTGAGGATGTGAATGCAAGGGCTCCACAGCATTTATTCCCCAGAAGCCCAAAGAGAAGACTTCTGGCCACATGACTTAACACAGCCAAAGGGCTCACTGTTTCAGAATTCCACTCAAACCAGGGCAACTTACCAAAGGCAACACCACTGCTTGGCGCAATATACAAGCTGGTCCATGTCCCTGACGCCAGAAACAACCGTGACACACCTCTCCGCTGTCCTGCACCTTGCTCATCGCAGGCACGCGGCTTGTGCCTGGCGGTGAGCTCGCGGCGTTCCCCGCAGTTACCCACGCGCGAAGGATGGATGGTGCCTCTGCGTGATGCTTCACTCCTTAGCGTTCAAATCCGTTGTCACATTGAATGCGCCCCTTGTTCCCCAATAGTGTCCAACTATGGGTTCCTGAACTCTACGACCCGGACAGAGCTTGTGCGTCCACCGTTTCCAGGGTTGGTGCCATGCTGGCGGTGTCCTGGTCGGTGGTGTCCCCTACGGTATTCCGGTTGCGGCTTTGAATTCAAGGTGTCCCGCTGCTGTCCTGGTACCGGTTGTGTTTTGGCTGTCCTGGTGCAGTGTCCCGTGTTCCGGTGGACTTTTGGCGGTGTCGCGATGGTGTTCCCGGTGGCCCAGCGGTGTCCCGTCTGTGTTCTTGGTCGTGTTCTGGTCGGTTGTGTTTCTGGGGCGTCCCGGTGGTGTTCCGACACCACTGCGACATCACCAGGAATACACCGGAACTCCGAAACACCAGCGAGACACAACCGAAACACCACCAAAACACTATCAAAACACAACCAACACACACACACACACACTCAGACAGGACACCGAGTTAACACTTTTGCCGGACACGACAGAAACACCACACAGTGATACCACCAAAAAAATCACCGGGACACCATCAAAGCACCAAAAGCACAACGGGAAAACCGCCAAAACACACAGCGAAAGCACATCCGAGACACCACTGGGAAATAACAACCGGGACGCTTGTGGGACCAAAATGCCCGCAGAACAGCAAGGACACAACTGGGACCGACAGAAACCTGGCTAACAACCTCAGGGACAGCGCCGGAACACCTTTACAAACACCACCAACAACACAACCGAGACACCCCGGGACACCACTAGAACACCGCAGCAGCGGCTTCCAGGGTGTGTCCTGGCGGTGTCTTGGTTTGTGGTGTCCTTGCGTTGTCCTGGCGCTGTCCTGGCGATGTGCTGGTTTGTCCCCAGCTGCAGCCGTCCTGATTTTATGTCCTGGTCGGTCTTCTCATTGCACTGACGTCCCCGCAGCACCTCTGACACCTCATAAGCGTTCCGGTTGTATGCCCTGGGGAAAAAAACGGGACTGTTCCAGTTGCTAAAGTAAGTGATGCTCCCATTCTATGTATATATATATAATACTCATAACACGCCTTGCAACAAGGACTGTGAGAGTTGCGGGGGAGTGGCTACTGCTATTGGGGTCTCGCGCTATTGAATAGCAACAGTCACCGCAAGCAGCTCAAGCTTTGAGGCTGTGCGCGGTCGGAGTGTCGACCGGCCTGCACTTGAACAAATACTCGAAGCACAAGCCGCATTTGTGCACCAAACCGCAATGCACGATTCGATTGTATTGTGTACATGTATCTCCCGTGCAGTTGTCAAACCAACAAGCAAACATGCATCCCGCTTCTGGGCCAAGTCAAATGCATCCCAGTCGAGGACATTACCGAAAATGACAAAAACTTGCCAAGGGCAACCCAAGCATCGACTTCTTGGCTCGTTCATGCAAATTGCACAGAACAAAAGACTGGCTTTAGCACTGTTGGACACGCTGCAGAAATGCAAGTCACAACAATGAAAGGCAGCAAAGGCTCAACTTGCTGGTTGAAGTACCAGGTTGACTGTGGATCGTGTTGCTAACGGTTTGGAATATTTCAGAGCTGTCTCTCGATCAAGTATGATCACTCTTGATGATTGTAGGCCACATCTCCAGAGAAGCGCGAGAATTGACACACTTGAGAGGCCTGTATGATTGGATTGAAGCTCCAGAACTTGGTCTAGAGGTATGCTCAACTGCGGGAACGGCAATACACTCTCGCCGCACTGGCTTGAAATCCCCACCCGCCGCAAAAACAGACCTGCCGCGCACCTCTGCCTGGCTCCAAACATAGGCACTACCCGTTTCGGGCCAAACGGCAGCGGCCGGTGCGGGGAATTTTGCGTTTGAGGCAAACGCGAAAGGTTTACATGCTCTGGCGGTGGTCCTACCGTCCAGGATTGTGTCCAGTTTGAGAAAATGTGGATTTGGCCAAGTGGCTTGTGACGGCCGTTGCTCAGCCTCGCGGGCCTATACTATTTAAGGCTGGAAATACAACGGCAAAGAACCCAATAAATCGACCGAATCATTCTGCTGACCTTCCCACCCCGAAGCAGACGTGCGTTTGTTCGCTTGGCATCTGTCTTCGCTTAGCATAAGCACCAGCCGTAAGCCACCCCCAACCTAATCCTGTGGATCCTGACCCAAAGCCTCAGTTTCAGCATGTTTCAGCCTTCCCACAACCTGCCCCAAATATGTAAACAAGCCCAAACCCCACCCTCAAAAGCAACAATGCGAGTGTAGATCAGAACTAGCAAAAAACAATTTCCGGTGAGGGTGGTCAGTTCTCGAACTCCATCAAGTGCCCCTTAGATCTTCCGGATGCACACGCAACATCTGAAAGCAGACAACTCAATCAAGAGTTCTTTCTCATTGAGCAACATTGTGCCATCATGGCAAAGGGTCTTAAGACATGCCACAGTCTGCCTGCCACGCCTTCGAATGAGTTTGCGGATGTTTGCGGACATGCAACAAATCACAGGCTATATGGAGTGGACATCTTCCTCGGTGGCTGACGCTAGGCCAGGGGCACACAGCAATGACTAGCAACAAGAGAACTCAATAGAACCATGTCGGAACATCTGCAGTGATGTACATGTGTGCGTGCGGAGCACGCGTGCGTGTGCCCGGGTTGCTCGTGCGGGGTGCGAGTGCACGCACGCACGCGCAACACCTGGCACGTACACAAATGAGGGCAAGCTTTTGGAGGTCAACTCGCACACTTGCGGCCCCCGCGCATACGCGTGCACGCATCTCCGACCCCCTGCCCGAATATTATTCCAGACCACCCCACCCCCTTCTTGCAAAGGTGCTTTGGATCTTTGGACTTAGCCAAAGTAGATCTGGATAAACCTTTGATGCCTGTGACACAAAATGGCCCAGTGGTTGATTCCAGCAGCTTTAACTTGAGGCAGAAGGCGCTTTTTTTTTTTTCTCTCTCTCTCTCTCTCTCTCTCTCTCGCTCCCTGCCTTTTCTATCCATACGGGGGTGCTCAGCCCCTGGATCCACCCAGGACATTTCCACCGGAGATATTGATGTCTGTGCCCGTGATGTAGGAGGAATCCTTCAGGCAGGTCACCCCATGAGCCATAGCGTCTCGAAAACCTCTCAACGGAAACTGGCTTCAATGCCCACCCTGATACCACTAATGTTGAAATTCGAGCCAGGTTCGTTGGCACCCAGTCCCTCCCACTCCTCGCTCAACAGGAACATCACCGCCTGAACCACCTCCTCCGGCGTGCCCAAACGCCGCAAAGGCACTGACTCCTCCAGGTGGTTCAAACGGGGCTTGAAAGACGGACTTTGCAAAATTTGTCCAAACAACCCATTCCTGGTTCCCGTTCATGGGAAAGTAAACGGAAGCTGCTGGTGAACAGTGGCCTAAACATGTTTAGACACAGGGTAGGCCCAACCCTGGATCACGGCGTGCAATCAACACACATTCAGAGCTGCAGTTGGCAGCTTGCAACTTATGCTTCGTCAGAAGGTGCTAGCCCAGTCCGCACCTGACTCACATATCTCCGAAGCGTTGGGTCTTCGATACCTCCCCAATCTTTGACTCAAAATGCTGCAGAACGTCTTTCAGGACGCAAGCTGGCAAGCACCGTTCTCAGGCCGGTCCTCTGTTAGGCGAAGGCACCAGGCTCAAAACAAACGAGCTCTGTAGTTTAAGACTTGTCTTTCCTGGCTATGACCCTCCTTGGCATCGCAAGTGGGAAAAACAAGTCTTCAGAAAGCCCCGTCAGCTTGTATGATTCGCTGCGCCCTGTGATGGCCCTGTGACTTCAACACCTTCTTCAGATGGTGTCAAGTCATCCCAGAATGGTGGGACGTGCTTTGCCGATTTCAGCTAATCACCTTCCAGTTGCCCGCCAGGATTGAGGCTCAATCCATGCAATTCCAGTGTCTCTGGCACGTCGGTCCTGGGACTTGTGATTGGCGACAAACGCAGCCTTGCAAGCTAGTTGGCTGTTGCCTGGTAAAAAGATTGAGGAAAGAACTCTTGGCATGTGGCCCCTCATTTTTGCTAGCACGTCTTGGTCTCTACACTTCCCATAGGCTTTCCCAAATCTAATAATTTTGATACCTAATACCTATTGACACATTCCAAACAAGAATGACCAGAAGGGACGACATCAGCATGACAGCTTGACAAGCAGGCCGGTCCCATTGTCAAATAAAACGGAAAAATATCCATCCCTCCCATGGCTCCAGCATCTGCTTGGAGACCTCATCCGGGTTGTTGGAGTAGTACCGCCTTGGGCAATGGCTGCACCAAGCTGAAGGCAGGGGCTGAATGTTAGTTTGTAAGGCTCATTTCCTGCAGCTTCAGAATGGAGCTTCAGAAAAACACCTGAGTTCGAGAAAAAGGTTTCAGGTCAGTGATGGCCCTGTCAGGAAACCAGTCGAATGTATGTGGGCAACCCGGCGGCAACCTCCGTTAGAGTCTTCCTCCAAAGTTTGGAAGCAAAACAACGAGAAGCACACGTCATGGAAAAAGCTCATGCCAAACCGGCATCACCCAGACTTCTGACGTAAAGTCTATGTCATGGCTGCACGTATCCCTTCTATGAGCATAGGCCAGGGCCACGGTTCCTCAACTTTAGAATTTGCGTTCTACAAATGCCGCTCCTTCCGAAATGGACCGCTCCCCCGAACTGATGTCATGGCTTTCTCCTCGGGCCAAAAGGCCCACAGTCCCCATTCTGGGGGCAAAATATAGTTTAAACACCACCTTTACAAGGGAAGAATCATCATAACCAGTGGTTATAAAATGTTTTTGAGCCAATGGGTGGCCCCCTCGTCCCCATGGCCGAGGCGCTCCGGCGCGTGGGTGGGGTTGGCCTGCGCCTGAAGCTCCACCTGGCGCCGCCACATGAAGCCGTCCTCGGGCCCGATGAAGGCCTGGCGCCAAGGCTCGGGCAGAACACCGCCCTTGGCAAAAACAAAAGTTGTTTTTTTTGTTCTTCGTTGTTTCTCCTTTTTTTTTGTTTCCTCTTCTTTTTCCGGCCGCCTCTATGATGAATTCCTCATGGTCACTATTAAGTTTTTAGATAGATCAAGCACGCATGTTTGCCGTGAGCAATTCGCATAACCCCTCCCAGCCCTTCATCCCCTTCCCTCCCCCGCTCACCCCCCCCCCCCCCGCCGGACTGACGGAGTTCACCCGCACGTTGCTGGGCGCCAAGTCCAAGGCCGAGATCTTCGTGAGGTGTAGCACCGCCGCCTTGCCTCGGGGCGGTCGCAGAGGTGTTGAGAGTTGGGCAGAGCTGAATGGCCGGAAGCCGTTGCTGCGGCAGTTGGCCCCAGTGCCAGAGTCGGGCCTTTCAAAGGACTTGCTTGAACATGCGGCAGCTTCCCCCGCGCTCCGTGGCACGCCAATCCAACCCACCAGCTCCGCTCAAAACACACTTCCGCAGGATTCTGGTTCGCCGATTCGCTGGCAGGCTGCTGGTGCCATAGGCAGGCATCGCTGTGGGGCAGCCCAGGCCGGCACATGAGGCCGTGTTCACGATGCTGCCGCCCTTCCTCGAGAGTTGCAACCCACCCCAATGAGGCAAGAGAGTTTCAAAAAGACCAACCAGTTTAGAAATCCCAGCCAGCCCCCCTTGCACCGGAACTTTCCGGGAGTTCGACCCTGTCCCATTCTGGGAGCGAGCCTTCACTTTTTGGGAACCACCCTCCGCTTCTCCGCAAAGTTGATTGATCCGGGGTCAACATCCGCAGGCTCCGAAAGCACCTCCGGCAAAGCAGGGTATGTTTCGTGTGCGCCACAAAAAATGAACTCACAGTCCTGGCTGTTTGAATATGCCTGTAGTAGCGAAAGGTCGGGCAAACACATGTCTATGCTCAGCACCCACACGATGAAAACACTGTCCTGTTTGGTTGCCATTGAAAGCTCAAAACATGGACAGGCTGAAACCTTTCTTCCAGCTTCGTTGTGCGCGTGCAGGTTTTGAGACCAGGAGTCTCGGTAAACTCTAAAGAGGGCACACCGTCACTGCGAGATACAAACCCGCGACATGACAAACGCTGCAATTCCCTCGAAAGGCTCTGATCGATCATGACCTTTGACACGTACTTCAGCATAGAAAACACGCCGGTGACATTGATCTTCAGGACCTCCAGGCTGGCAAACCGGCAATGCCCAGAAATCACGAAACACCCAGGGCCCCAGGTGGTGGTTAGTGAAGGTCAAGGCGTTATAAGGGCACATGCCGAAGGGGCAACAGCTGAGGAGGGGGGGTAGGATTTCTGTACTCTCAAGGCAGTTCATCTGTGCTCAAGCAGCAAAAGGCATTCCTTTAGCAAAAGTCCTTGCACATTCACGTCACGTAACACAATATCGCGTCACACAGCAACAAAATAACTTTCTGTGGGTGACACAGTCGCCATATGGCATGAGTGAATCACGGCTTGGCTCCATGAAACCTGCTCGCCTTGCGACCTGGCTGTGTTCACAGACCCGTGAAAGTGCCTCTTCCCCAACCCGGCGCACATGAGTGCACATGCACATATGCCTATCGCAGTTGACAGCTCTATGCCCGGAGGGCCTTGGTCTGAGTCCCAAACTGAGGGGGTTGGAAAACATATTGGCAATAGAACAATTCATAACTTAACACACTATTTATGTATATATGGGACATGTATGTTGTCTCCTTGTGGGCGAAATTTAAGATTGTAGCTTTTCGCACAAGTAAACAACCAAGCCTTCTCAAAGTCCTCGACGCTGTAATCGTCCACTGGGGCGAATAAGCCCTGGTAACCGGCGTTGTTGAACAAGCAGTCGATGCGTCCTCGGTGCAAACCCATTTCGGCACGCAATATAGAGTTTAAGGAGTTCTTCAGTAAGGCATGTTCATTGGCCCGGTGAGGTCGCTCGCACTTTTAAAACTTTTTGCAAAGAAACTATCCAACAAACTTGCTTGCAAGTGTCCAAATTCCTTCTTCACTTCAGCAACCGCCTTCTCCACATCAGCCTCTTTTGTCACCTTGGATGTGAAACATTCATACACTGGTTGCAGGACAAAAGCAGTTGATAGTGGCCTCGTCTGTCAAGCACCATGGCACACATGCATGATTGCCAAAAACACCAACGAACACGCGTAAGCGCGCAGAACCGTGAACATGTGCAAGTTGATGAGTGAGGTGCTGGGTGGGCAATCGGAGGACTCATCTGTGGCCCATTGAGGCCAACAATCTCAATGACATTCAGCCCAAAAATCGCACTGAGACTACGCAACAGTGTAACAGGGATACATATATGCTTCGTGAAAGCCACATAGACACACCAAACTCAACTGAGCCGTTCTTCCGTCCCAAACAAAACATGCATTTGACACCAAGCAAGCCAGCTCCAATCAAGCGATCCGAGTTTATACATATGTGTAAATGTAAATATATGTATATACATATTCGTTGATATGTCTGCCAGCACCCCTGCGGCACTCAAACAAACTTCCAGTTTGTGAGCATCCGCGCGGTCGAGCTGATAACTATTCTTGAAACAAAACACTCCGAAAGCAAGACCGCCACAGCAACCGACAAGTCGACACTCTTATTTTCAGGTTGCAGCAAAATCAATCCAAGCAGCCAAAGATGCACACACACAAGGTGAACATGCACTCAGCGCTGCCAAATCCTCAACGCCACACTGCCTTTCAAGCCCCTAACGCTAACAGACTTTGCAATGAGCAAAGTGCCCTCGCTAGATTGCCCACTGAGCTGCATCCAAAGTGAATGCCTTCACTTGTACTCCATAGCTTTCTCGAACTTCTGTAGCCACTGCCTGAAGCTTGTCCTGCGCAGGGCGTTAATTGAAGGGTGCGGATTGCGGCATGCATTGAGCTAATTTCTGGAACTGGCCCTTAGTCCGGTATTGCATTTGGAGGTGGCAATTGTTTTTTTTTACCCTCCCACCCTTTTCACATGGAACCTGACGGTCCCTTTAGGAAGATGGTCTTGGACCCTTCAAACGTCAGGTTCCACGTTAATTAGTGGGAGGGTAAAACAATGTGTCTAGGTCCTCCAGTAAAGAGGATAGAATAAGGGTACGATGTTTTTTCAGTAGTCTATTTTCGTGGAGGAACCCTCCCCAAAAAAAGACACGGGAAAAGGGCACCTAGCTGGGGGACCTAGTTGTAGAAACGCCATATGAGAGCCAAAAGGAGGAGCTCCTCCACCAGGTCCAACAGCGCCAGCTTTGCTCCCTCTGCCGCCAACATCCGCGCGCACACTGCACCAAAGTTCCCCGCCGCCCCGGTGACTATGGCCTAAGCCGGTTCCACATACATCTAAAGATATGGGGACCCCTATGGTGGGTAGGTAAGGCTACACTCAAACAAAAACACACACACAAACACACTTGCACAATATCTCAGTTGCTTTGGAAAATATAAACCACTCCAACTACCTTGGAAAGGCGCCACAAGTAAATTAAAGGGCCGGATAACCCCACATGCTATGTTTTTCCCACATGTCCACACACATGTACCGTGCGCCCCTTGTATGGATGCGATTACAGAGCACCCAGATGCACAGAATGCAGCGCCTGCCACGACTTCGGCAACGGCATCGCCAAAGTGCTGCGCCTGCCACGATTTCGCAACGGCATCGCCAAAGTGCTGCGCCTGCCACGATTTCGCACACCCCCCGCCGCGCGCGCGACAACATCCTGTCCCTCTAGACAGCTGCCGAATGCGACCCCTGCCACACAAACACACACCCAGATGCACAGAATGCTGCGCCTGCCACGACTTCGGCAACGGCATCGCCAAAGTGCTGCGCCTGCCACGATTTCGCAACGGCATCGCCAAAGTGCTGCGCCTGCCACGATTTCGCACACCCCCCGCCGCGCGCGCGACAACATCCTGTCCCTCTAGACAGCTGCCGAATGCGACCCCTGCCACACAAACACACACCCAGATGCACAGAATGCTGCGCCTGCCACGACTTCGGCAACGGCATCGCCAAAGTGCTGCGCCTGCCACGATTTCGCAACGGCATCGCCAAAGTGCTGCGCCTGCCACGATTTCGCACGCCCCCCGCCGCGCGCGCGACAACATCCTGTCCCTCTAGACAGCTGCCGAATGCGACCCCTGCCACACAAACACACACCCAGATGCACAGAATGCTGCGCCTGCCACGACTTCGGCAACGGCATCGCCAAAGTGCTGCGCCTGCCACGATTTCGCAACGGCATCGCCAAAGTGCTGCGCCTGCCACGATTTCGCACACCCCCCGCCGCGCGCGCGACAACATCCTGTCCCTCTAGACAGCTGCCGAATGCGACCCCTGCCACACAAACACACACCCAGATGCACAGAATGCTGCGCCTGCCACGACTTCGGCAACGGCATCGCCAAAGTGCTGCGCCTGCCACGATTTCGCAACGGCATCGCCAAAGTGCTGCGCCTGCCACGATTTCGCACACCCCCCGCCGCGCGCGCGACAACATCCTGTCCCTCTAGACAGCTGCCGAATGCGACCCCTGCCACACAAACACACACCCAGATGCACAGAATGCTGCGCCTGCCACGACTTCGGCAACGGCATCGCCAAAGTGCTGCGCCTGCCACGATTTCGCAACGGCATCGCCAAAGTGCTGCGCCTGCCACGATTTCGCACGCCCCCCGCCGCGCGCGCGACAACATCCTGTCCCTCTAGACAGCTGCCGAATGCGACCCCTGCCACACAAACACACACCCAGATGCACAGAATGCTGCGCCTGCCACGACTTCGGCAACGGCATCGCCAAAGTGCTGCGCCTGCCACGATTTCGCAACGGCATCGCCAAAGTGCTGCGCCTGCCACGATTTCGCACACCCCCCGCCGCGCGCGCGACAACATCCTGTCCCTCTAGACAGCTGCCGAATGCGACCCCTGCCACACAAACACACACCCAGATGCACAGAATGCTGCGCCTGCCACGACTTCGGCAACGGCATCGCCAAAGTGCTGCGCCTGCCACGATTTCGCAACGGCATCGCCAAAGTGCTGCGCCTGCCACGATTTCGCACACCCCCCGCCGCGCGCGCGACAACATCCTGTCCCTCTAGACAGCTGCCGAATGCGACCCCTGCCACACAAACACACACCCAGATGCACAGAATGCTGCGCCTGCCACGACTTCGGCAACGGCATCGCCAAAGTGCTGCGCCTGCCACGATTTCGCAACGGCATCGCCAAAGTGCTGCGCCTGCCACGATTTCGCACGCCCCCCGCCGCGCGCGCGACAACATCCTGTCCCTCTAGACAGCTGCCGTGAGTCAGCGAGTGTGAGTGAGTGAGTGAGCGAGTGAGTGAGTGAGTGAGTGAATGAGAGTGAGTGAATGAGAGTGAGTGTGAGTGAGTGAGTGTGAGTGAGCGTGAGTGAGTGAGTGAGTGAGTGAGTGAGTGTGAGTGAGTGAGTGTGAGTGAGTGTGAGTGACTGAGTGTGAGTGAGTGAGTGTGAGTGAGTGAGTGAGTGTGAGTGACTGAGTGTGAGTGAGTGAGTGTGAGTGAGTGAGTGTGAGTTGAGTGAGTGTGAGTGAGTGAGTGAGTGAGTGAGTGAGTGAGTGAGTGAGTGAGTGAGACGGAGACGAGCGGGAGAAGGAGGAGGAGACGCGGCGCGCGGACGACGAGCGGAAAAAGTAAGAACCCCACACAAAGATGTGGGGAACAACATTCACCAAATCTATCGAGAGCTACTCAATGGTGCTGCCAAACCTCTGTTTCCGGTTGGAAGTAACGGTTTGAAGGTTGCACACAGTCCGCTGCCGAATCCTTGTTGGTAACTTAAAAAAAAATAAATCAGGCGCTCGCCCGCGTCCCTACTAAAAAGGCCGGACCTGGACCTGGTGGGGGGAACGGTCCTCCATATGAGTGAAATGAGAATTCTGAGAAAGAGTAATCTCGCACCTGGCTGGTACCCTGATTTATGTCAAGTTTCCTCGGATTGAACGCGACCCCCCCCCAGTGCTCCGGTACCATGATTTACGTCAAGTGTTTGTTGCCGAAAAACAATCCGGGAAAAGACACAGGCAAACACACATCGTGCACAAAAATCACCGGGCAAACAAATCCGGGCAAACATTCGGATTTTTTTGAAGTGGTACCCAAACCATCAAAATCACGATGCCTTCTTTACAAAAAAGAAAGGGCAACCAGCAACAAAAAGGTGGGTTGCCCACAAGAGGCCCTGATTCTGTGTAATGTGACTGTTTTGGTGGTTTCTTAATGTCCAACTTTTTTTGAGGGGAATCCTGAAACAAAGCGTTAGCCTTCACGTTTAAAAGGAGGGGGTGTCCGCGGAGGCTAGTGATCCTGTTTAATATGAGTGTCTAGGGTCTTCCTTATCCAAAAGTAAGTCCTGGCAACACTAAAATAGACCGGCAATACTGAACCAAGTGCTGGGAATCTAAAAGTAAGTCCTGGCATTCAAGTAGTGGCCATACTAAAGCAACACTTCAGTCATCCAAGCTCCCGGCCAGATCCCTATTCAGGACCCACGAGCACTGGTTTGACTGTTGAGGGGAGGGGGAGGGGGAGGGGGAGGGGCGGGGGCCACAGTAAACAAGGTCCGACATCAGCAGGCCACGTTGTGTTGTGATAGCTAAAACAGCATCTGTTGGATTAAAAGCGACGCACCTGGCCATCTGACGACCCCCACGCTGCCGCAAATAACACCAGCAACCATCCGAAGCCGGATCTGGTGAGGGTCCCATGACGACTAAACACAGATTTTGCAAGTTAGTGCAACGTGGGGAGATGCTCAAAGGGCTACTAGTGCCTGAGCCTATGTTTTGGCCAACGAGTTGGCCAATTTCGTTTCCCGAAAGCTCCCATTGGGGGTACCTGTTTTTTGTTTTACAGAAAAAAGGAAACCAACTATGCTGCCCGACTTACCTGTAAATCAGCCAAACAGCAGTTCCCGCCTAAAAAGACACACCCCAATGTGGCCAAAACTCCCTACCTGGTTCGTGGTCGTGGCTCCCCTAGTCAGATGTTGCCTATGCTTGTCCTACTACCTGCCAACCGGCAGTGTGCCTAGGCTGTCTTTGTGAAAGAAGCCGGTCCATTCGCAACCAACAAACTACATCAGCCTTCCCCATAGGCGGAGAGCATTCAAACAAAGTTGGAACATACAAGCATTGACTGGGCCCACGGCCTTGGTTATTTGCCTCATGTTCCGCCGTGGCGCCACTTTGTCCTGAAAGCGGTTGCTGCGGGGTGGGTAGACTCGCTGTCGCTTCGCCATGGCGAATAAATCGCAAGGCAATAAATTAGCTTTCTACAATCATGGGCTGTGATGCAGCAATGCGCTGCAGGTACTGCTCCTCCACCCCTTGGTGTGCATCCACCAAAGTCTGTTTGAGACGCCCATGCGCAAATGATCACAAACTTGCACTCCCCAGGTTGTCGAATGTCGTCAGTTTGAGCCAAAACTGCCATGCGTGCCAGCCCTTCAAACAGCGTGCTCGTCGCATTCTGCCTGATGCGAGGTTCCCAACGATTTGTCGCTGTGCGGACCGCTCGTTGCGCAAGAACGGTAAACGCCCCCCTACTTCAACCAAGCTTCATTCTACTGCAAGTGTTTGATGGGCCCACTGCGAGTTACACAAGCCGAGCTAAGGCTGCAAGGATGTGGTGTGCGGCGCATCTCTGTATGGAGGCTGGCGGCTGCCCTGTCTGTTTGCACTTGTCCAGTTGCTCTTTTGGCTTGCTGCCAATGATTGCAAGTCATTTTGGGGGCTGGCATCTCAGTGCCTCAGTGACGACCTTAGAGCTCCAAGAGCCCCACTTTTCTGCGGGAATTTTAGGGCAAGAATCCAAGCAAACTGTACAGGTTCCTGCTTAGTTCAACAGAGCTTCAACATCTAAACTGAGTTGCCAGAAGGGGCCTTGACTAACAACATGAACCAACATTGGGAACCAAAAAGGTCAAAAGGTCGGCTTTGGGCAAGTGAGAAAAGTCCAAAAACTGACTGTGGACTTGCCGCTTTGCATTTGGAGGGGGATAAACCCCTTCAGCAGCTTCCCAGCCAGCCGCCCCCGCAACTTTTTGACGGCAGCTCAGCTTCGAGCCGCCTGGGATGATGCGGCCCGGGCACCGCAACGCAAGGTAAAAGGGCGGTATCGTTGGTTGGAACTTGTGGTGCAAATCTACAATCCAAAACACTTCACTTAGTAGCTATGCCTGTCATTTACCCTATATTTTGAACAGGGTACAGGTTCGGGGGTGAAATTTTGGGCTGAATGTGTCAAGTGATGGTGCGTGCCTGCCCTTTTTAACCTATCCCTTCAAACTTATGTGGATTTCGGCTGTCGCTCTAAACTCCCGGTCTGTTCAGCAGCTAATTTTGCCAGCGCTGTGGGCGCAGTGCACAACATCCCTCCCTCCCTCCCTCCCTCCCTCCCTCTCTCTCTCTCTCTCTCTCTCCCTCTCTCTCTTTCGCTCACTATCCCAGGTAATTGTGGTCCATCTCGCCCCGTTTGTTATGTGCTTCTGCTGCGCTGGTGGGCATCTCAACATGTGGCTATTTGGGCAAGGATCTCTTCACTGGGTATACAGGGTTGGCCCTTGCAAATGCAGGCGGAGCATGCCACGATTTGGTTGCACACGATTTGTCTCGCTCTGTCCGATCAACATATATGGCTAGCATGGCAGCGGTGTATTTTTCCTGAGCTCCCCGACTCTAGGGAGTCGAAATCAAAGCTCGTTGCCTGCAACAGCACCGAGGTCTGATGATGATGATGCCGCGCAGGGTACCCCCTTCTTCCAACTTTGGAACCTTTTTTTCAACCTTAAGCTGTTTTTCTGACCTTGGTTCCTCTCTTTTTCACCTTGGAAGCTTCTTTTTGAACCCTGGCGGGCGCAAAAGAAAAGCCCAAAGAAGAAGAGGTGGAGGACTCACGATCGTCATCCTCATAGAGCCCTGCGAAAGGGGTAGCTTCCTGGCTGAAAAGGAACCCCGCGCAGGGGAAGAGACTTGCGAAGAGGAAAAAGGTGCAGTGACGGGCCATGCCCCGGCGAGGGGATGGGACGGTTCCAAAAGAAGGAATCAAGGTGGAAAACAAAGGCGGGAAGGTTGGAACAAATGTAATCAAGGTTGATTCAGAGAAAAAGCAAAGATGAACAAAAAGTGTGGCAAGGTTGAAAAAACATGAAGTGCCGACCCTGAAATTGAAAAAAAGGGGATAAGGTAGAAAAACAAACTTAAGGTTGAAAAAAAAGGGTCCAAGGTTGAAAAAAAAGGGTCCAAGGTTGAAAAAAAGGCATGCCCATGATGCGCACAAAGCCGTCTTTAACATTGGCGGGGTGGTAGCATTATAAGCAGAACAAACACTTTCCAACTTCAGAAGCATTTTGCTAGGCTGTGGTTTGCAGCGCAACGTGCACTTGGCAATGCAAAGTGCAATTTAAAGAAGCACCCGCCCCATGGACCAGAGCCATCTCCACGCTTCCCATATCCAGACTGAGGACTGGGCTACGATCTACCCGGAAGCCACTCGTGCAACGTGAGACGGGGTCCCCCGCCGCATCTCGTGCCCTGCTCGCCTTGGGCTCTGATAGCCGCCGCTGCCGCTGGGCGAACCTGGCGCCCATTGGCGCCCGGAATGCGCAGGGATACAGAGAGTTGCCATCACCAAACCTTACACCTCAAAATTATTAAAGGTAAACTCTGTAAAGATTCATGAGGGCGCTACGAACAAACGAGGTTGATGAACCTTGGGCAAAGTTCCTTGTGGGCTTCCTTTCGCAACAAGTCCAACCAGCACATATTCCATGTAGGCATGCTCGTGTGTGTGTGTGTGTGTGTGTCTGCCATTGCCACATACTGCGCAAATCCGTCTCGTACAAATAATAACTATGCGCTGCTGACTTGCAAACAGTTCAGAAAGACCTAATGAGTGCAGTATCACAACTACAGTACCTAACCAACTACCCCAACACCAACACACAAACACAACAAGGATACCAGTCAAGCACTCACGTCACTGTAACCACCATGTAGCCCCATCGTGTCAGCATTCAAGCCAGCCCAAATGCAGCCAAGTGGTATGCCAAGCCAATTTGCAAGAAACATCCCGGAAACATCAACTGAAAAGTGGCGTGGTCCAACAATCCAATTCCACAAAGCATCCGGAAAAAAAAAGAAACAAAAGGAGGAACATGTAACAGCAGCAAGGTTCCGGTGCAAGCGTACAGCGTTGACTGTGCGGAAGGGGGAGGTCGACGGATTTTAGTTTATCTAGTCTTCCGAAGGGCAAATGGAACTATGAATGCAACTTGCCATTTGCTTAAGCCCCCTTGAAAAAAACAAAAACAATCCAGTAGTGATAGATTCCCTTTAAACAAACAGGGAGAAAAAAGCATATATTCTTAAGCAAATGGAAGCAACTCCAAGGCTCAGCCCTCGCTCGCGTGAGAAGTAAACCTCAGCCGAGTGGACTCCTCTCGCAGCCGCGCGTTCAGCACCGCCTGCTTCCGCCGCCGGTCCAGCTCCTCGAGAGATGTCCATGGGAGCGAAACGGAGGCCGAAACAGGGTCACATTTGTCCAGCCAAACGGTGTAAAAAGAACCTCTTGGATGAAACATGCGCCTCCATTCCTGCAAGATTGAAACCAAGCAAACTGACTCAGGCCCGCTGGATCGAAACACGTCAAAACACAAGCTAATACAGAAATCAACTCCCAAATCCAATCCTCCAGCTATCTAATCCTCCAGCCGGAACGCAAAGTGTTGGGAAAATCTTTCCCACCTCCAAGTTCAGCATCTGACAAGGTGTTCAACTGCAAGCTTTGCAAATGTCCAGATAGCCAGCGCGCAGCGCACCATTTTGAAACTGGACTCGACAGCACAGCAAACTGTTAAAAGGCATTGAAATACATCTCCGCCCCCTTGCCACGGAAAACGGAGAGCCTTAAGACCGGCATGTTCAGCAAGGACCTTCCTATTCTTCGAGGTAAATCAGCAACATGGCCCAAATGGCCTGGAGTCCAGCAGCCCCCCAAAACCGCAGTTCAACATATGATACACATATATATATATATATGTGTGGGAGGTCCGTACGTTCTGCATGCGCAGCCTTGGCCGCGCTTCCACGGGGCAGACAGGGGAAGAAAATCCCTGCGCGGATGTAAAAGTGCGATTGTTTTTTTCTATCGAAGAGAGTGTGCAGTCAAGCGACCATTGCCATGACGCGAACTGGAAAATGGGTATGACCAGGGTAAGGCCAAACAAGGGTGCGATCCATGCCAAGCATCCAAAAAGCAAACCGCCTTTTGACGTGCTCTCTCACCTTTGCCAACTTATCTGCAAAACCTTTGCAAGGCTGGAAGTAGACAAATGAGGGATGTACGTGTCATGCCGTCATGCCCTTCTATGGGCTTGGATTTTGCTGCGTAGCCAATCAAGCTTCACAACCGCGCGCGAGTCTGTACCGCAGCCGCTGGCTGTTGGGCTGCAGGTCCCTCAGCTCAGACCACAATCCGCTCCGACTCCGTGCCTGTGCTATTGCCTCGGATGCGAGGAGTTAGCGCTACGCCAAACGCGGAGTGAGCGCAGCATCCCAGACATACGCGAAACAGCGGCCCTTCAATCCGAGCAAACTGCGGCGCCCTTGTATAAAGCGTGCATGCACGCATGAAAGGCTGTGCAAACAAAACCATGTCTTGTGGGAACACGCTAGCATCTTCATGGAGAGGTTCCTGGACCTGTGGTCACTGTCATCGAACCCGTTGCTCCAAAACTTTTCCAAGAACGCGTGAAACCATTAACCACCACCCTAAAGGGAGAAAAGGGCATCAAGAACCGTACACAGTGGGTATAAATGGTTCTCCCCAAGCTTTGCTAAGGTTTGATGCCTCGGCCCCCTCTTCGTTCTGAGCCCCTTCTTTGTGATGGCTGGGACTTTGCGCAATGGGCGCATGTCGGTCTTGCAAAAGAGGCTCCTTTGGGAAATCAACCGTCTTATCTCGAAATGCTGGTTCCAACTGCCTAATTCCTTTGAATGTTAAGCCCTGGTTAGTCACACACACACACACCGTCAGTACAAAGGAAGCCTTCCTGGATGGATCACCAAAGCGGGGTCGAAAAGTGTCTTTTCAGACCACCAACAGACTACCTCAGGCTAGTTTGCATATACTTCACATCGTAGCATCAAGAGTGTCATCACACTTGTCCAGTGGCAAAAGGGGAACAATCCACTTGTTCTTCGTTGTCAAGCAAACAGGGTAGGCAATTCATGGTACTGGCAGTGGGAACAAATATGTCAAGCTCTTCTGCCAACGCGACTCAGCTGAACACAGGGGCTGTTCCGCGTAATGCGAAAACCTGTCGTGGATTCGTGGAAGCACACCCTACCATTGGCACCTTCGAATGGTCAATGGGGCTTTATCGAGCTACCACCCTTGCTTTCTTGCAGCTGTGGCCAATGATGAACATACGCTATTTCAGCCTGGTCCCTCAGGCGCTGCTCAGTGCACCAGCACCTTTTTCTTACAAGACCCGCTCGGCTCCATTGCGCGGCTCCGTTGCGCGGCTCCGTTGCGCAGCTCCTTTGCGCAGCTCCCTAACGAGCGGTGCATGACTCACTTGCCGTTCTGCTTCTGGATGTAGCATGCAATGTGCATGAAGAAGGAGATGGGCAGCAGCAGGGATTCCACAATGTAGGACACATTGAAGTAGCCGCCGGCATCCACCTTGGCCCACTGCGGGTCATAGTAGTTGAACTGCAAGTTGCCATAGAGTCCCACCTCAGAAAGCTGCATGTGTTCGGACCTGGGCCTGCTTAGAGGTGGCTAACATTGTGGCCACCCACATTGCTAGCGGTTCGCATGCCAACATGCTCATGCCCAACAAATTTCAGGCGCCATCTCCCCGAAACGCTTGCCTGCACATTTCTCCTCATGAGAGAATCAGGCTAAACGGCTCACCACCCCCTTTGTTGCAAACGCCGAAGTCTGGAGAGTGCGACCCATGATCATCCAAAGCACGGGTATCCTGGGCGGGCCTCTTCCAGGACACGTTTCAAGGATGTTGTTATCAAGTCGCTACGAAAATAAACTTCAGGTCCGTGCTTGCCGTGATTCTCATGGGAAGGCTTCAAGCTTCCTTTGGGACTTAGACTCTGAAAGTCATCTTCCACCAGGCCATTTGACGAACTGTCACCCGAACGTCACAGGCATGCCACGTTAGTTGAGTTCAAGGGTGGGTCTCGAGGTTGCGATGAATGCTCGGCTGGTCGTTACAATGCTTCACCAGATTCTCTTCCAGGGGGACGAGGAACTTGCAACAAATGATTTTCCGCCTCGCATGACGACTCAGCCCTTGGCTTATCATGTTGAGAATTACACTGCCAAGTCTGACCAGATGTTGCCGAACAGGCATTGGTCCTGGGCACCTGGTTAGCACCCAAGTTGTCATTTGTTGCGACCCAATGCCAAACACGCGCGCAAGGAGTATCCCCATGAGCCCCGCAACCTGCCTGAAGCCCCAAATCCACTAGCTAGGACACCGCAGGGAGAACAAACACCAACCGTCGATTGGCTTCGAACCCAAGGCACGCCGAAGAAGAGCATGGAGAGGAAGGCCAACTCGTTGGAGCTGAAGGACTTCAGGTTGCCCAGCACATAAGGGGTGTACCTCATGAATCTGCGGGCACGGGCAAGCAGGGGACGGTTGATCGTCAAAAGCGGAACATAGAACTTTGCGCACTAGGTGGATGATGGCAAAAGGAGTTTGAAAAGAACCACACTGCTACCCCCAAAGCTTTCACACACACGCACACACACACACAGACCCGTGCGCACGCGCAAAGGATCACGTTGCACCCAGCATGGCCGTTCAAACCACTGCCTGATTCAAAAACCGCGAACAACAAAACCGGTTGGTGAACCAAACATATGTGCCATAGGTAGGCATCTCCGGCACAGCTGGTCACAAACAAGTTTTGAGAAACCAAACTATTTGGTCCAAACCTGAAATCCTGCCCAGCTCTAGCCCACGGTGTTAGAGTGGTGGTTGTAGTCGTAGTGCAGCCTCCATTCAACCATGGAACAAACCGTTGGCAACTTTACGGAGAGAAAACGGTCTCTCCGCCAGAACTGAGAGGAATTATGAAAAAAAATCCACATGTGCACGACATTCAGTCAATGATCGTTGGCGCTTTTGGCCTGAAGATGTTTCACTCGTATGCTGCGGGTGATAACCAACCAAGCCTATAGCGAATCAAATCCGCAAGCTGGTTGCACGATCATAATTTGCTAAAGCTTCATAATATGTCTGCTTTGCGTAGTGGCAGCTTCGATACCTATATGATAGTCCCCTTCCTGTTAACACAAAACACATCTGGCCACGATTTGTGTTAGGATGGCCACTCTCACTTCAGCATGAAGCAAAGTCGTCGGGATGACTTGTTGATAGCTTGCTGTCAAGCTACTCCATGCCCACAGGCTAGAGTTGCATGCTGTGGATTCTGTATCCAAGGCTTAATGGGCAAAGTGGTGCAGGTTGCCTGATTGGACACTAGCTACATTCCGAGGGTCGCCACACCAAACCAATCAACCTTCGGTTCAGGCTACTCACAACCTTACAGTCCAAATAACGGACGCCACAGGAATGGTTGGCGGGCACGCAGGAAGAGTCGGCAAAAAAGATAGCATGCTGCCTGCGCCGCAAAAAATACGGCTCTAAAGGTCCCAAACTGTAGCTGTGGCGCTTGCCATCCCTGATCATAGGGCGTCCGGGGTAGTCTGGCAGGCTTCCCTGCAACTTGTCCTTGTGCCAGTACATGGGGCCCTTCATGTACTCTGAGGTGTACTGCAGGTAGACCTGCGCAGCCACAGAAACACAAGTCAAGTGACCTGGTGTACACACGTCAACAGGCACAATAGCGTGCAGGCCTGCTCAAAGAGGCGCTCGTCTGCAGGGGTCTCCTTGTAGCTCGACTCCGCTTTGCGCGCGGTGCGGGTGGCCATGGCAAGGCCAACGTGGGCGCCCACCGCCAGGCCTGCCAAAGGTCTATCGTCCATCCCGCGAACAAGCAGCTGGCCCAGCCATGGCAAGCATGAAGCAAGGGCTAACAATTGTCACACAAAAACACGCGGCAATTCCGTCTTTCTTGCATCCCGAGAGATCAGACCAGTAATTGAACGATTCCCGAAATCTGTTTGATTTTTGGTTCTACTGGCTGCTCCTTCCCGGAAGCCTCTGGCGGGTCTTACGCGACCACAGGTGTTGCCATACGCGGGCCCAAGTTCTCGCGTGTCCTCGCAAACCTGTTACACAGAGCCTACGCGGCGCAGCCTTCGGGTTTGGCGCACGAAGCCCACTTTGGCAGGAACCACCCACATGCTCTCTGACACAAAAGCATGCTACAAGAACAGGTTTCGAATCTTCACTTGAGGGTTTTGGGCGCTGCTCATTGGTTATCCACAACATGAGCAACACTAGCCGGATATCGAGCCGTCTGTGCTCCAAGCATGGCCCAATTCAGTTGCTTTGTTTTTTTCCTTTCCCCCCCCCAAAAAAAAAGAAAAGAACAAGAAAACACATCCAAGACTACCTCAGGACTCAGCACCGTTCAGCCGTCTCAGGATTCATGTCACCCCATCCCTGCCTGCCGCTGCCAGTCCCCAGCTGCCCTCCGACTTGGACTGCGTCCTTCCAGCCGACTGCCCGGCTGCCACCCGCGACGTGGTGGCCGGCAGTGCCACGAAGGCGGTGCCGGCGACGGCCGCCAAGGCCAGGGCAAGGGGCAGGCGATTCATGGCGAGGGGAGCAGCTTCCTATGGAAGGCGGAAACCAAAAAAGTCTGCGGCAAAGGGAGCTTCAGGCATGATCAAGGCCCAACCATGCCTTCCAGGGCTCCAAGGGCAGTTTGGATTTATGCAAACTGCGTTTGGAGCAATCAACCAAGCAATAGCTTCTTCCTGCCTGCGACTCAGTCCCAAACCCTTAGAGATCAATGAGCCTCAGTGATAGCAGCGAAATGCTGCATCACCTGAACAGCTTCCAATTGAACAAAAATAAATCCTGCATGTCAACCGGGGCAAGTAAACACAACAGTCAGTCAACGGTGCCCGTCGGCTCCAACGTGGGATTGCCGCTCAGGAAAAACACACACACATCTGCAAACGCGTCAACAAATACAAGCAAATAATCTCCAGCCTTTCGCGTTTCTGACATGAATACCCCGTTGGTTGCCCTGCCCTCGAAGCCTGCAATGTCATAAGCTTTGACACTGCCATACCGAACAAATGTAATTACTCTTCAAGCACAAGCAAACACACACAAAAACAAAAAAACAACGCAATCACAAAGACACACAACCACTTCCAATGATTATGCAAGTTCCCGAGCCCTGGCATTCCCCAGCCGACACCGCTGCCCAAGCGGCTGCAAAGGCCAGTGACCTTGCCGCCCCATGCAGCCGCCACCGCCTCTGCGCGATGAGCCTGGCATCAGTCCGTCTCCAGCCGAGCAAAAGTAACTACCATGTGAGGTATCCCACAGGGTTGTATGAGGCTCTTTAGGGAATTCACTGGAACAACTTTTCCTGGGAAACTCCCTGCAACCCCACACTGTTAATATGTCATTTGTTATTTTTCACTAATCTCCCACATTTCCAGCCCTCTCCGACGGCAATATCAAACTTGAGCTGTGTAGATTCAATGTCTAAATTGTAAATTTACCTGAGCGTCCTTCGGTGACTAATTTGTTGCCCCAAGCCCATTGCCAAACGTAGTGCAAAACCAAGGGTCGTCACCAAAAACATGGTAAACGCACACTTGTTCATGCTTCGAGCGTTCTTCCCAAAACCAAGCTGATCAGTACTCCAAGATGAGCAGTCGCTAAAAGAGCACGCAAAAATCGATGTGCAAGCCGCGCCCAAGTATCTACACAAAACGTAGCAATTGCTCGCCTTTCTCCGAACATATTGGCAAACAACATGCCCTCCTTGGATCAGACGGCACTCTTCTCGAAGCTTTGAGCAAAACATGGCTCGGCCAGAGACTTTATGTAACCACAGTTGTGTGTTGTATGTGTGTTGTAACGGGGGCTCCAGGTCTATTTGCCTCTCAAATATGAATTGATAATTCTGCAAACACAAACTTTTGCAAGTTCATGAACAATTTTGACGATTTCTGTGCTTGGGCAGGCGGAGACCTCATTTGGACGAGGACCGTAGCGGAAACCTCTTAGACTCCCTGGCCCTGTTGTCAAAATGAATTCCGTCCGGAGAGAACTGGACCATGTTTTCTCTCGTGCTTTGTTTTCTAAGTTTGGGGGGGGGGAGTTCTCGCCAGGGGTAACCATCCAATGATAACATCGGACACCACATACAAGCAGAAACCGCGATTTGAGTACACAAGGAAAGGGTATGGGATGCATCTCAGATGTGATTCACACAGCACTGCGTTTTGTCAGGCACATTTCCTCCTCAGCACGCCGCTTTTCCCCGACGGCACCAATTTGCACAATTTGCTTGTTCTGGAGCTGGGGTTGTTCCTCCCGAGCAGAAGGCCCAAAGGGGCTGTGGGGCAAAAGGCCTGCAGATGGAGTTCTTCCATCCATTCGCTGCAAGTGGCCTTGAAGAAACCCAACTCAGCTCACCCAGGCTCCGAAACCAACAAAAGTCCGCTCCACCGATCCCTCACTGGCCAAAACCGGGACAGCATTGAAACCCTTGGAGTTTCTTAGGGCCAGCAAGCGTGTCCCAAGCCAACCACCCAACCACCTCACCCCAAGCCACTGCCTCGGCCTCCCCCCCCCACACGAGTCGGCCCAGCCTCTGAAGCCGGCAGCCAGGTGAGGTCCGTGTTCAGGCAGTAGACCTCGAGAACGGATTTCTCCACATACCCCACTTCACGCGTATGCGAAATCAGGGCCTCTTTTTTGGGGGACTTGCAGGGCTCATCTTGTTCCTGTGAGACACAAAACGCACACACTGCATGTGTTTGATCCCACCTGACTTGTGGGACAAAAACTTGCATGGGGTACTGGAAGATTCCAGAATCGCCAAGGGGAAAATAAACCAACTGTTGATGAACATAGACACGTTTCCCAAACCCTGCCTTCTAAGGCACAGGCACCCAAATCTGAGCAGGTGTTGATTTAGTCATGCAACATCTCCTTGAGTCTCAGTCGGGTCAACTCCGAAGCCTGCTCGCTGTTGCAACTAATTTGGGAATACTAAAATGGTCGGCAAAGTGATAGGGCCGCAGGTTGACTAATGGCCATGAGTAGGAAGGACACATTTGGGTGTTGCTTGATTTTCAAGGGAACGCCCAAAGCAAAGGACGACAAAGTAAAGGCGTCACTGGACAACCTCTTTTCCGGTCCGTGAGCCTCATAGAATTGGTGACCCCGATACGCAAAGCTCACTCCTGGATCTGGCCACTTGTGTGGGCGGGTTCTTGCTTTCCGATCAAACTCCAAAAGGCAAACCCCGAGTTTCAACTCCTCGACTTCGAACAGTATGGAAGGAACCGGGTCTAAGGGGCCAACTAAAGCCAACAGGGCTATATGTTCCATTGCCTCACTTGATCCACCGCCAAGCTCTTTTGGAACCTGCAGTTGCAAACAGTAACTACCTTTTTTCTGCCCGCGAGGGAGGGACTTCTTGACCAGGGGCATACGTTACCAATTTGGGGCTGTCCCCAAATCTGCAACCCTCCTAATGTAATAGATGTGATACTGTGCATGCCTCAGAACGACGGACCCCTGAAATTGGTGTTTTGTCCGTTTCAATCAATCATTTCCTGGAAAAATCGAGTCTTGTGCACAGGCACTGGCCACTTGGTGCACACGCCCTCCTGGTTGCACACCTCATCTGTCTCCCCGATCCTGCGAAGGGTGCGGATAAGCTCAGCCCAAGGCTTAAGGCCTGGATAAAGAAATCCCGTGGACATTTCTGGGAAATTTGAAGAGAAAAGGCCAGCGACTTCAGAAGGCACTTCAAATGACCACATGTTCAGGAAGGTCGACTTCAGTAAGGGTTCCTCAACATGTAGGTAACTAGCAAAAACATTCCCCTGTGCGTTTAGGGGGTGGGGCTGGAAGTTGGAACAGCCTTTTTTAGTATAAACTGGGGATTAGCTGGAGTCTATCAATATGATTGCGCGAGGGCAGCTGCCTCTCGCGGGCGAGGAGGCACCCTTTTTGTTCATAAGGTGATCACGCTAGTCAATCCTCTTATTTCAAGCTAGGGATCTATGTTCTACATCATTGGCGCTAGCCTGACATCCAAAAGTCGCAGTGGGCGCGTTGGCTCTGAGTCCGACCAATTTTCCAATATTGCATGCGTCAATTAATATGCATGTGTCTACCTCTCTCTCTACATATATATATATATAAATACACATACATAAACATTCACACAAGCCCTGCAAACAAATGCAACCACAAACCAGAAACAAGATGCCATAAGAGCAAAGATAGCTTCAACCAAGCCCTGTTTCTACAGTTGCCACACGACGCAAGCCGCATGCCTGCAATATGACAACCAGGGCCAACCCTTCAACATGGTCCTCAGTACTGTTGCGAGAAAACAAGAGATATGTAGCCTCTGCAACATGATGGCATCCTTTGCTCGTCTACCCATTTCATAAGGCCAAAATGGGTTGGGTGTACCCGACCTGCCAATTCTCCATTGTTCAAAAGCAACAACAGGCCGTAATTTGGGAGGTCAAAGTGGTTCACTTTATAAGGGACATGCACACGGGGATGCAAAACATAAGGGTGAAGCCACTGAATACCATTCCGGCCAAGTGCATCGAGGCGGCTTTGTCTTGCCCAGGCCAAACCTCGAGCGCATTAGAAGTACAGGCCGCACTGCCATGACGGTGCCACCCCACCCCTAAGACTGTTTGCTGCGCGGCCCCTCTGCTACCAGTCCAAACGTCTGACCAAGAACGATCACTTGGGACTTTGCTGTTATGATGGTTTCCAGCCAAGTAGCAGACCGAAGTTCATCTCACTGCCACCCTTGAAGTACCTGAAGGCTCCGAGCTTGTCTTTCAAAGGAACGCCTTCCCACACTGGTTGGTATGGTGGCCACAGTAGGAGCCACAAACACTACATTAAACAATTGCGCACCTCCTGCCTGGCCAAAATGAAACTGCGTGGCATGCCTCTGAGCACTTTCAAGCCTGGTTGGCCTTTCTTCTCGGAAGGGGCTACTTCCCAGCCAGCTCAAGGACTTGCTCCAAAGCAGCCAAGCAGCGCGGTCTGGAACCTCACATTCGCAAAAGCTGGTATTCAGGGAACTTACTTCAAGCTGCTGCGAGAACAAGCTCAGCCACCTTTGATGCTTTCAAACCCTTGCCCAAAGATAAACTGGACAAGCGCGCTCCAATGACATTCCCGCTGGCCAGGATTGTGGGAAAGGTTGTTTCTGCGTGTGTGCGTTGGTGGGGGTCGCTTCTCCAGATCTGGCGGGCAGAACAAGGTCTTCAGAGGATCCCCAAACACAGGTCTTGGGAATGACCCTGGGCGGCGAGGCTTGCTAAGCACCTGATTCTTGCCCTTTCCGGAGAGGTCCCCCCCGGAACGAAACCTCGACATGCCATGTTCCACTTTACAAGTTGCCTGCCACATGGGGCAAACGTCTGATGTTGGCCACTATTTTGGAAAGGTTGATCAAATCAATCAACTATCCTGCAACGACAGCTACCTCTTGTTAAAGCTGGCAACTTGTTCTGCCACTTCCCACCCAACAAAGAAACAATGCCCCAATTGACAGCGCCTCTTCAATTTACTGGGCGGCAACACGTTGGACCAGAAACAACGTGCTTCAAACTTCAAGGGCATTGCCTCCAAGCGCTGCATGCAACTTCACCAAGCTGGCAAACCAGAAGACCTCCAAAACCGCCCTCTGCACACGTCGCAGCTCTCAAGCTGCGCATGCCACTCGCGCCATGTTTGCTTCTTTTGCCAGCGGCGGTCACCAGCAAGGAAATGCGAACCTGCCAGGTTGAATGGGGATGCTTGACATTGCCAAAAGGCCTAGGAGCTTCATAATTATTTCACTGAGTTACTTCCTCGAAACTGAGCATGCAACCCCAGCGCCGTTTGACACAATTCCTCTCTCCTACTGTGAAGGTGAGTTGATTGTGGGCAGCATCGTCACAACTGCCAGTGATTGTGAAAGGGCCCCGGCTGTTGCAATGGCTAGATTCCTGCTGGTTCCTGCAAGCAATGCAAGAACATCAGTCAAGCGTCCTCATGGCAATATCACCACCATAAAAAGAAATCAACGAGACACACAGCACTGGCCTCAAAGGAAGTCCGCGGGTGCTCGCGAGAGAACCGTGGATGCCACGCCCGCCGAGGCTTTCGGATGAGCCACCACGATCCACCTCAAAGCCAAAAGACGCACAGAATGCACATGTTGGCTTGATTTGTTGAGTCCGCTGGGCTCCACTATCCACCAGAGGTGCCTCCCATGCGTCTTTCTCCACCACTGTACCCAAACCATCCCAAATTCCCGCTCTGGATTGAGGACTTGAGCAAGAAGGCTGGAAGGTAAGGGGAGAAAGTATCAAGAAAACAAGCATGTCAAAAAGAAGAATAAAAAAAACACGTGTGCCGGTTGTCAAAATACATTTTTCCCGAAAATGCCATCTTCGTGGGACAAACACTTTCGCGCCCTCCGTTGCGAAGATTTCGTGAGCTATGTTGACAATCTTCATCACAAAAGCTGCACGCAAAGTGCAATTCCGCAGTCCCGGCTCCCATCCTTATTTTCGGCAATGCTTGGCGCAGGATCCGCGAAAGCTTCGCGAGTGTCGAGGGCGGGTCCCCTCCTGTACTGCTGCACGGCTGTCGAGCTGGGGCTGCAGAAGAGCACTTTGCGAGCGTGAGCTGGGCGAAATGTTCCTTTTGTGCACTGCGTTCGTGCTGACAAGTTGCGACTTTCGACTGGTCCCAAAAGCTTCAACACTGCAGCTGCGCTCTGCCGAGGGTTGCCTTTGCAGATCTTTTCAGCGACGTACTGGATTTCGTGCGGCAATCCGAGTGCGCGCTTTCCTCCCACCAACTTTAAATAACTTTATTCTGTCTGCATTCTGCGCACACTGGCAGCAAGTACACATGATTCATCATTCCACCATCAGTTTATAATGCAAGAAACGAGCATCACAGAACTGAACAACCAAACACAATGCTGAAGCACATGTGGATAAGCCTTGGGAGCAAAGAAGCACGAAGAGAAGAGCGCGAAGAGCGCGAAGAGCGCCAAGCAGAGCTGAGAGAAAGGTGGGGAGCATGAGGCGCAGCGGAGAAAATCGAGAAGCAAACCAGCTGAAAGTTTAATTAGGGAGAAGACGCCTGGAGAGAGTAGAGTTAGGAGCATAAGAGAAGCCTGAAGTGAAGAGCGCAAACGAAACAAACAAGCAAAGGAAACGAGCCCAAAGACCACCGCTCGCCGCTAGCTTTCGTGAATTCGCAATCCCCAGCTCTAACAGAGACTGGGTTGCGAAAATGGAACTGGCGGTGCAGCCTTTCGGGCACTAGGACGCCGCGCTCGTGGGCCGGCGGCCGGTGACTCTGCTTCAGCTGCTCCAGAGCCTTTGCGCATTGAAAGGATGCCCAAAGGAGGTCTCAAAGTGGAAGGAACCACTGGCGCTGACATAGCCAAATGTTGTCAGTAGGAAACAAGGCCTTAATACTCGCCACGTTGAGGGAATTTGCCTCTAGACGCAAAGCAACCGCCTGGGAAACTTGAATTGCTGATAAAGTTTTTGGGCGCAGCCACCCCCCACCCGCGGCTGAGGTGTATGTATTTTTTTTCGCATAGCCCTGGCATTAGCCTAACCCTGGCACAGCCAGGCGTGCATGAAAGGAAACACTAACAAACAAAAGTTTGGGGTGGGTTTAGGGTAGTCCGTTTAGGGTAGAGGCCCGGCATCGTTTTAACATCGTCAGCATTGTTTTCAACATCCTCAGCCTCACCAGGCTTTGGTTGGCTGGGTTTAGGGTGGGTTCCAGGTTGGCTCAGGCCTATTGAGAGCAAATTTGGGGGTGGCTGTGATTGAGGTGGATGATTCTGCTGGTTTATGGTGGGGCTTCTTGGGGTTGGTCTCGGATGGGTTTAGGGCTGGTTTAGGGTTCGGTCGTGGAAAGCAGCCCTAAACCCATCCGAGACCAACCCCAAGAAGCCCCACCACAAACCAGCACCAAACCATCCCTGGAACCCACCCTAAACCCAGCCAACCAAAGCTTGGTGATGCTGAGGATGTTGAAAACAATGCGGATGATGTTAAAACCGATGCCGGGCCTTAACCTACCCTAAACGGACTACCCCAAACCTACCCTAAACCTACCCTGAACCCATTCCAAACCTTTGTCCTACCGAGGCGCCAACCAACCAACCAACCAACCAAACCAAACCAAACCAAACCCAACCAACCAACCAACCAACCAACCAACCAACCAAGCAACCAACCACCAACCAGGGTTAGCTTTGTGCCAGGGCTAGGCAAAAAACAACAACACCCTTTCCCCCCACCCCCCCGGTGCTCAGTAAGACAAAAGCAAACAATGGCATCAGCCGTAGGCCCCCGCAGTGCAGCAAGCACATACACCATCAGGCAGTCCTTCCTCATTGGAGGTCGTGGGGTGTTCATGCGGTGGCACTTGGTCTTTCACTGGCAAGTCAGAAGCTCAGAACTGGCCAGCCAACATGGCTGGTTTAATAGTTGGTCAAAATGGCTTCAAAATGACACAAACAAAAAAACACGCTTGGTGCAATCCTTGTTTGGGCTGGGCCGAGTCACGTTTCGGCTCAACCTTCTGAATTGGGTGTCCAGAAATACGACGCTGGCGAGATGGGTCGGTTGTTCAAGGTGCATCGTGGATTTGTATCATCTCAGCTAGCTGTTGACTTGACATTTGCCTATCCCGCCTCATCCGATGCGTAGGGGTAGACATATCTCCAGCGCATTGGATAGCCTGACACCGGCAACAAGCATAACACCAACTCACAATCCTGGCTCGTGGATTCGATCAGGGGGCGCCCCTGATGTAGGCCATAGTCTTGAGAATCCTTCTCTCTCTCTCTATCTAACCTCCTTCTCTCTCTCTCTCTCTCTCTCTCTCTCTGAATTCCCCTCTCCCTCGCTCCCCATTGCCATCACGGTACACATCAAAGCAATGAACCCTACACTAGGTACCATGCGCGTCACTCAAGCAATGGTGTCAGCACCCATGAGGGTGTACGCTGATGGCTCCACACCATAACCTAGACATACGTAGTATGTTTTATACACTGTACTTATACTTGCGCATATATACATAGATATGTTTATACAACATGCAGTACATAGCCACACATATTCTGCATCTTGTGCCTTCTGCTTACAAAGCTGGCACATAGCCAAGCATAGGGGCTTGGCTTCCCAGTGACATGGCAGGAGTGCCCCCTCTTGGCATGTGACATCACATCTTGCAGTAGGTTTACGGACTCCATCATTACGTCCCTCTGTTGTTCCGGCCAAGGCACTGAGGACTTTGTCACAGGAGAGGCCAACCTTCTCTACCATATCGCACGCCTCCTACAGCAAACATCTCTGGCATTTCAAAGCTTCTTGCTAGCTGAGATGTCTCGAACAAACTTTGAGCTGGGTTCAACTTTCCGGTTAGCCAGGGGTCGTTGTCGGGATCATCTCAAACATGCTAGTGAAGACAAACAGGTGCTGACCCCCTTGGTGCCGCAAGCAAGGGCTTATTTTGCACCATGTGTCGACCCATTAATAGAACTGGAGCTAAAGGCGTTTACAAAATGAGGGTGGTTACGCGGGCAACTCCCTACAAAATGGCTCCGTAAATCGATGCGGCGCTTCTACGTTTCTGCCAAGTGGCCACCACAACTTTGTAACAGTTGCTGTAACTTGGTGCAACTTCAAGCTAGGGATCTGCGTTATTAGGGGCCGCCATGAAGTCCAGCAGTCAATTTTGCAGTGGGTGTGTGGGTTCCAATGTTCCAAAAGGCATGGACACCCATTTTATTGTAGGACAAATGCACGAGCATAGCTTCAACAGGGCTCTCAACGACGCTCTCAACAGGGTGTCAAACATGCACCCACACATCACACACTGTCCTTGTATTTCTCCCTTCTTTTCTCCTCAATGACAGTGCCTGGTGTTCAATGCAACTGCTACAAAATTCATATTCCCCAATCAAATCGCAGTAGATTTTAGAAAGTTAGTCCCTCTTAGTCCGCCTAGTCAACTCATCAAGGAATACTCTAATCCAAGAGGCATGAACAAAATACAAACAAGAACAACACAAATATCTTCAACCAGCCCGAACCCAAATCCCTACAACATGCAAGACTAACTAACCAAACCTCTTGCCTACAAAATGACATGAGCAGGCCCAACCGCGGAACATGAACCCCAGAGAACACAAGAGACATGCGGTCTCTACACAATATGGAAAAGGCCTGGCCACTCAACATGGATCTCAGACAGCACAAAAGACATGTCATGTACTGCAGTCTCTATGCAATCACGGAAAATGCCGAGCCCGTTTTTAGCAACTTCCATCGCCAAAGCCCGAGTCTACAAAATTGGCTTTCTATGGCTTTCTACAACTTGGGGTTCCGACCTGATCCGTGACCTCGAACTCACGAATCAATATGCAATTTAAACTATAGCGAGGTCGACAAGGGGGATGCGCAAACTATCAACGTTGGTCCGTTGCGCAATAAAGCGCTTGAACCTCCCAAACAAGGAATGCACAGCCAGCACCAAATCGCTCCTTCTTTGTGTAGTGCTTGGTCTTTGCATAGACGCGGAACACATTCTCCGCCTCCTCCTCTGGATGCGGCGTCTCATAGTCAATGTACCGGCCAAGGTTGCTGTCAACGCCTCGAAGACACAGCGCACACGGCACCAGCTACCAGTAGCAGCTAAGACTAATAATGATGCAAGGAAATGTGAAATATGCGATGGAAGCAGACAACATATTTTACAGCACCAAATCATTTGGCCCAAACAATCTCACCCCCGTTAGAGGCTCCAAACAAGGTTGGACCCCCCATTTTATCAAATAAAATAAGGTTAGTCCATCCTTATTGGCAAATAACATGAAATAGTCCAACTTTGACGGAAAATAAATTGACAATCACGATTTATGTTGACCTCATGTTGGGGGTTTGGATGAAAATAAAGTCAGGGGGGTCCAGCTCATGTTTATTTTGCACACACGCTTTTTCACAAAATAAAGTCGGGGGGGTTCAACTCGCATGGTTATTTTGGGCTCACCATGGTTTCCTTGAAATCACCATGGTTTCCGTAAGGTTTTGAAGTAGATGTTGGTCTTGTGTTTCTCAAAATGGATTCGGACCGAATCCTCCAGGCAGGCTTCGGTTTCCTTTTGGTTTCCAACAGCACATACGAAGCAAAAGGCAAAGGAGTCCGAAATTCATTGTGCGATCAAGGTAGTGATTCTTTGACCGCCCTCCCGGCCTAAAGTTAACATGGTCCAACTCCACACTGAATATAGTTAGACTTCAACAAAATGCCATGTCCAAAATGTAGTTGCCGCAGTCCAACATGTTCCAGGCCTTGAATGGACTTGAAAAAAGGCACATCCTGGGGAAGACACGGGTTGCCTCGTGTTGATTTCAAAATGAGTTCAGTCCAACTTTGAAGGGTTTTTCACAAAGGCCAAAATGAGTGTTAATGGAAAAAGGGGGTTGCACTAAAATAAAATAGATGACTCGTTTTAGGATCCAAGCGCGCCAACTTTATTTTGAGCCTGCAACGGGGGTCAATCTCAAACAAGCCAAATGGAAGGCATGCGCAACAAACCGGCTTCATGCTTGTTGCCGACACCTTCTTTTGGTGAGCACCTCACCCATATTTGTATTTGCCGGAGACTTACTGCAGAATTTCCAATATTGACAGTGCCCCACTGCCTTTTTCATGGACCTGGGCCTTGTTGCTGGTAGAGATCCCGCACGCGTCGGTAACTCTCCGCACTGGGCACGAGCAGCAGCAAAGTGGAGCTGGGGTCCTGGGACCAAAAGGAAGGGACAAATGGGACCACTTGCCCACTGGACTTGTGATGCAGGAATCTGCCGGGAGCACGGCTTGCTCCAAGCAAGAAACTGGCCAACCAACGAAACAAACTCACACCCAACCCCACGCAGCTCGTACTCATTCTGATGAGCTTTTTGGCAGGGCGACAAGGCAGCCCAAAGAAGGCCCGACTAGCTCGGGTCCTGTTTCACGGCTTTGCAGGTTGCACGATTCATAAGGATTGAACATTGCAGGAACCACTACTCAGTGCCACATGCACCCCAAAGCGGCAACACACAGAATCGTGGAAACAAGAGCAGTCTGTACCACTTCATGTTTGGAAACACTCCAAATGCAGCTTTCTTCGGTTTGTAGCAACACACAAATCACCAACACACCGCGGCAATGTGCTGAGGACGTGCATTGCTCAGCGGGGAACCGGGGAACTCACCGTGGCCACCCCTGCCGAGGGGCCGGGCGAAGCATCTCAGCTTCGCGCCGCAGGATGTTCCTGGGAGAAACTGGCAAGATAATTCTGAGTTAGGCGGTACGTTCGCGTCTCTTTCTCAAGGCTAAAAAGGCACATGCTTTGTTTGGAACACACCGCAGGCCGCAGCCGGTTCTGCAGCCAAAGCCAAAGCTAAGTGCAGCAGGCGCTCTCCCTGGATTCTTTGTTCCTCAGCGTCGGAACAATGAGACCGTTGCACCGCTGCCAGACCAAGGTGGACACAAGGCCAAGCAGTGCCACCGGAATCATTGCCTTCAAGCCTCAGAACCTGTGCTTGATCCCTGCCTCAACGCCCACACGGGAGTGCCTTAAAACCTGAACCCCCTCTCGACAGTGGGATGTCGTGGAGTTAGACACATGCAGGGAACCAGTTCGTGTTGAGCATGTTTACTACGAACTCCACCAACAAAAAGGGGCGAATAGAGACACAAAAAGGGGAAACACAGCGAACAATCAACCGGAAAAGGGACGGAACCATCACGTGAATCATGGCTAGCTTCCTGTCAGCTTCCCTTGGCATCGCGAAAGACGCCTCCGAAGAGTGCCCCTACCGAAAAACGGAGCGACGGAGCCAAATCGCAGCCGTGGGCGCGGGGAGATGAGCACATTGAAACTCGCCACGAGGTCTGCCTGCTGCTTGGCGCCTGGCACGCCAGGGCCGCAAAAGTCCTCCAGCGAAGGGCCGCGCGTCTTCCCCCCCCAACTCTCCCAGTCACGGAGGCTGACAGGATGGATTTGAGAAACCCTGTTGGGGAAGCCCCTGTCCACTTCAATGACACAAGTTGGTGCGAAAAGTGGTGAAAGTGGCTTCAATGGGAAATGACCACGTTGGAAGATCTCGGAGTGAACTGTGAACAGTCCCAGCCCTAGCTTTCCTGAAGCAAAGGTTGTGACATTTCATGATGGGACATCAGCCTTCTTTGCAACAAGAAGTCAATGCTGAACAGGATTGCTCCAACGACCGTTTCACAAAAGCAGAAAGCTTGGGAAAAGAACAAAATAGACTATATATGTACATATATATATATATATGCGTACCTGGAGTCTCCATGACCCTTAAAAAATGGGGTCGTTACCCAAAAGAATGGGGTCATGGACCCATGTTTAAAGGGTCATGGAGAGTCTAGGTATATCGTCTACCCTTGTGGTTGGGTCCGCCATGCCATTGGCTGACGCGCCGTGTCCTCTCCATGCTGGCCACGCTCGTGGACGCATGGCTGGCCCAGATCCACTGCAGGCAGAATGTCCACCTTGAATGAAAGGCATGTGCACAAATTGTCCCTTGGCAAGGGATGCCCGCACAAGAAGCGATGCTTATGCAAGCTTTTGTGGGAACATGTGGGGTACCATCCTGACAGTGATGCGCAATCCTCTCTTGTTTCGTCTGATTGTTGTTCGTCAAGTAAATGCATACAGCCTATGCGTATCCCTTCTTACACTCACTCCGCACATTCTATCAGTTCCTTGTTCTTGAAGTGCCACCCAAGCCATCAAATTAAAGATAACTTCTTTGCACAAAAGTAAGAGCAAACAGTCACACAAAGGGGGTTGTCGACAAGAGGCCCTGATCCTGTTCAATGTGACTCTTTTGAGGCCGCTTCAATGTCCGACTTTTGGGGGGGTTGTCGGAAACTCCCGAATAAGGCCTTAGCCTTCTACTTTTCAAGGGTGGTTCACCAAACCAAGCTCTTCCCAGCTAAATGAGAATTGGCAATACTGAATCAAGCACTGGGAATATGAGAGTAATTCTTGGCAATACTAATTTTAGAATTGGCAAAACTAAGTTAAACGCTAGAAATCTGATAGCAAGTTTTGGCAATACTCAATTCTGATTTGGCAATACCAAGTTGACGGAATCTGAGAGTAAGGCTTGGCAATACTAATTTTAGAATTGGCAATGCCGAATTGAGCATTGGCAAGTCGAAGTCCAACCCCGACCCCCCCAGTTTTCCACTAAAGAGGACCGCGGTGATTGCCACTGTTGAAGAGGGGGCACATTGCATCGAAGACACGGAACTTCCTACTCTGCCCCGAGACTTGTGACAGTGCCTGGAAATTCATTGTTCGCACGTCAGCATCGTACCTCCAACAAACTGCATCCTTTCACATTCCAGCCCGCTGCTCCAACCGATGCCAAAAGTGCTCAGAAGAAACAACGTCCGCTTGCTTACCCAGTGCAAGTCGGCAATCCAGCTGACAAAGTGCATGATGCAACTTGCGCCACCCGCTCGTTCACCCATGTTGACCACAGCACTATCCGCACTCATCACACATACCACCCGACTGTGCTTGCAAGCCCCACATGTCACATGGACGTAAGTTACCGATTGTCTTGCAGCAGGCACTCTGGATTGCTCATGTACGGCCCATGCGCGATGCATTTGTCTGGCTCATGAAAGCATGCAAGTAGGAGCTTGTAGGTTTCCGTTGGGCTAGGCTTCAATACAAGTAACTAGCTCTCCCAACATCTGGCTGCCAAAATCAGCGAGGCAAGGTCTGCTCGCTCTGTTGCTAGAACAGCGTTCCACATTCTCAAAGGATTGTAAGTTGCCTGGCACGGTGGAAAACATGAAAGATATGCGTATCAGCCGTTGGCTGCACCCCGCGCCAGGCGGCCTTGCGGCTCTTGTCGTTCAGCAGCTCCTCATGGTTCTCCTTGGCCTCCACTGATTTTTTTTTTTGCTTTGCTCACAAAGGAACAGGAAATGCCCCACCAGTAACAAATAATTTTCGCCCACAAGGGCCCTGCTTGATGACTCTGAACCCCCTCCTCACAATTACCTGGTCTGGAGTTGTTTTTGCCAAGGGCTTTTTTGGCCAGTGAACGGCAACACTGTCTATTTATGTTCAACCAAGCCTCTAGTGATGGTCCTGGCAAAACCTGAAAAGTTTCCTTGAAAGCTGTCATGAAACCCCAGGAAGGTCGCCATAAAAATGCGTCCCTGGAATCCATCTTACTTGTATGGGGAAAAAGTTGTGACTTGGACAAGTAGCTCCTGTTATCAACCTGAGGCGCAGTTTTTTGGGAATCTACGTGGAGTGGCCAAAAGGTGATGTGCCGATCATGCAGCAGACCTTGCTGGGTCAAGCAAATCTTTCACAGACTGAAGACTGGGCTACGTGACGACGAAGTAGGCCACCAGTGCAGTGCCATTGTGATAGAAATTACGTTTCTTATTCTTTTCTGACCTGGTTGGAAGACTGCAGGCCCCTTCTCAGGAGTACTTGTGACGTTCACTGGAGCTTTCCCCTCGCCGACATCTGTGCTGTCACAGGCTCCCCTCAGCCCCGAGTCCCGCCTTCTCCAGAAGGTTCTGGGATTGGTCCAGGCCAATGACATGGGAGAAGCGGCTGCTCAGGCCACGCAGCCACAAACCTGTAGCCCCAATTGACTCAAATGCGCAGTCTCCAGTTGGGAATTGGATGTCTGCACATTTTGGAGAAGTCCAGACTTCTAAACATTGTCAAAGGCACATCCGTTCCGTCTTGTGCCGAAACGGCAATATGACTTTGTTAGATTTAAATTTGCTGAAAGGATGTCCGACCACCAGGTGAAGAAAACATCCTGTGCCAGCCAGCCAGATTCTAAAGCCACAAACTTGCAACTTCTTGGCGCACTTCGCTCTCTATTTGACCATCCAAAAGCATAGTGCCAAGCCTGACCCGACAAATGCTGCTGGACATTTCTGTCCTCAAAACACGACTCGCCCAAACAGAAAATGAAACCCGGTTCACCCTCATTCCGCCCCTTCCCTCACCTCCTCACTCTTTCACCTCCCCCTCCGTCCCTCCCTCTGCCCCTTGCCTGGGCCACAGCCTGCGTCAATTGCCAGCAAGCCCTGGCCCGGGAGGAAGCCCTCCGGCACCTCTTCGTGACGACCTGGCAGAAATCTCTCCCAGTCGATTGCTTCCCAAGCTCAGGTCATTGGCACATTTCCTCGGAGCTTGGCCATCGCCTTTTGGTGTCCTGGATTGATCCTGCGGTTGTTCGCCAAACGACGACTTCTTGCTTGCTTTACACATACGTGAATGTTTTGCGTTTGCTGTAGGACAGATTCGCGCCCTTCTCACAAACTTTGCGCAGCAAGCCATTTTCTGCAAGATTGATGCCCGTGCCTCCTGCGGCGCACTCCCCACGGTGCGGGGCATCGCACACGCCGTCCGCCCAGCCCCGGCCACGGCGGGCCCGGGCCGCGGCAGCTTCGATCTCCCCGCGGATGAGGCCCTGGCCGAGCCCATGAGCCCATGCCACCGGCGCTGGCCGTGACTTGGTGAATGGCTTGCGGAGCTCATCTTAAAACAATCCCAGGCTGGGAATGGCTCGTGCGCAAACTGGCACCGGGGCAGGGAAGAATAAGAGCATGATGGGCAGGGACATCTAAAACCAGCCGCGCACACACACACACAGTACAAGCTGCACCCTCCCCACGTATAGGTGCCAGGTTGAAACAGCCCAAGCTGATATAGCTAACTCGCCATACGGCACTTGGAAGCATTTCGCACATTGGCAACTGATAGCTCTCCGGCCTGATCCTCTTCGCTTGACTTGTAAATGTCCTGAGCGTTACGCACCCATCAATTGTTGTTTTCCCAACCCTCCTGTTCAACCCCATGATTTTTGCAAAACATGTACATCATCCCAAAAACAAACAACACAAAAGTAAGACTCTAGGCAAGCTCGTGGCAAGCTCAGTCTATCAATCACACTTACTGCACGTTTGCTACTCCCTGGGTGGCATAGCACAAACAAAACCTGGAACATTCAGTGGAAGCCTAGCCTGGGCAAATAAGTTGCGCCACTTGGCAAGCGACTCTTGCAACATTGCAAGGGGCAAACGAACAACCGAATTGTGCTTGGGAGGGATGGATGCCCTCCGAGTGCTGACGGCTCACCGCCATACCGAAACCATATGTTGAACAAGGAGGCTCTCTCGAGATGCTTCCCTTAGGGCAGTTTTCGAACCGCAGAGCTGCGTCCTCGTCGTAGGTCGGCGCGCGCTCCTGCCAATAGTCGTAGCTTCCAGCATCCGGCCTGGCAGCAGTGACTTCATCGCTTTCCCCCTGCCATGGCGCCAAGTCAATACCTGTTTGTTTCAAGGCTTTGCCAGTGCGACCCAGTTGGAACATGCATTTGCAGGGCATGGCATCATGTATTCACTTTTTAAGACCAAGCTGACTGGCATTCTTCTGTTGCCAGTCGGGCTCATTTGGCCCGAGGGGGGCAACATGACACTCCATGAAAGAGGTGTTGCGCCCTGGGTCAAGCTTCCCAGCCCCCTATCAAACCAAAGTTCGCCTTTCATCCTCCAGGTCTACGCCGTTGAAGGGTTCCGCATCCGGAGGAGCGTCACTGGTGGCGAAACCTGAGAGAAAGACCAACACACACGGGGCCTCCGCAAAGTACAAAGAACCCCCAGGTTTGGACACAACCAGATGCCACTTGAAATGCTTGAGGGGTCAGGCAGGATGTCTTCATTGAAACGCCATAGCAAACTGATGCAGCCATGATGACCTCCTTCCTATGTGCTGCTGTTGGAGTAAGCATGGCGGTGTTTGAACAAAGTGAACTCCCACCCGCTCATCACATTGGCAGCATGATGCCGAGTGCAAGAAGCATCGAATGGTCAAAGCCATTTCAGCATACAACCCTTTGTGGCTGTCGACATTTGTTTCCCCATCATGACTGCAACGGTTACTGGTGACCCTGGCAATCACAACCAACACCCCCTTGCCATGGAACGCTCAAGTTGAGCCGCGAATGCGCGGGCTGAGAGCCAATATGTATGCTGATCCAAATTATGACTCTCTCTGGATTGCACAAGGCTTGGCCCTCAATTTATGAAATAGGACAGAAACTGTTCCACCTCGATTGCGTTGTTGAATGGAAACGCAAAGAAGGAAGCGGTAGGCAATCACTTGCTGGCCCTAGTCCGATGCACAGACTTGCATCTGCGATGAAACCACCTTTCTGGGACGTGCGGCTTGGGGCTTAGCCCAGCCCCTTGCGCTTTATCCTTCTTGTTCTCAGTAGAGAATAGTACGGGAACTACCCATACACTTATGATTGAAAGGGGTTCCCTATCACATGCTGAGGATGCCGGGTGCAGAAACTCGAACAGCTCTTCCCCGCGCCAGGTCCCAACCCAAGTCTGCCCGTCGCGCGCCAAGGTACTCGTGGGCTTCAGCAGCAGCTCCAGCGCGGAGGCGAGGCGACCCATGGCGCCGCACCAGCCCTTGACTGGCTGCTGCTCTGACGTGTCTCTTTGTAGCGCCTTGTCAACATGACAGCCAACCGGCCATTCAACAAGACTTTTCTCAATTTCGCAGTGTGTCTTGCTGTGTACTTCGCATTTTTTTAAGGGTGTGCATGAGGCATGCTTTGCTGGTTCCCTGTAGGGCTGATTCCTGATAATCGAGGAAACAAAAACACGGATCATGCGTTGGGAGCTCCAATTTCAGTCTGATGTGCTGCGACTACGCTGCCTTGTTGTGACAGATCAACCACCGAGGCTCAGCAGGAAGCAACCTGCATCAGCCGTTTGGAGAAAGCAAGACCGCCTGCGCCAGATGCCTGGCGTGCGCATGTTGAATGTTCAAATTGGCTGCCTGAGAGCGTGCTGGGCGTGTGCTGAGCGTGTGCTGTCTTGCACTGCCTCAAGTGGGTCTCCCAGGCCCTGTGCTCTTAGCGCGCTTCGCGCGGGCGCAGCCTGGCCTTGAGCCGAGTTCGGAGTTTGCCCGTGTCTGCCACATCACAACCTGAGGAAACCCTAGCATCCCTGGCATCAACCAAACCCCTACCACCCTCTTGAAGAACGCACACTTCTGAGAAACTGGGGCGCCTGGTGTGAAGTGACTAGCCAGGCAGCTCGAAAACCGTGGCGCCCAAGAAGAGGCTGGTGTTGGTGGCGTACTCATGCATTGCCTGTCCAACCAAGAGCCGTAGCTAGCGGATTGGACGGATGGGAATGAACTCCAAAACATGCCGGCGTGCCAACATATCCTTGCACCCCTGTGTGGAATGCACACTTGTTGCTCATCATCGTCATCATCATCATCATCATCCTCGTCCTCGTCCTCATCCTCATCCTCATTCTCGTCCTCATCATGGTCATCATCGTCATCATCATCATCTTCTTCATCATAATCCGTGTGAATGACAAGGTGCTCGCTGTTTTCAATGCTTGAGCCATCGAGGCCGCGTTCGGTTGCCATGTGCCTGGCTGAACCGCCATGCGCAAACCATCAATCTCACATCATCCCAACGGAAGTAGAGTTCAAGGCAACCATGTTGACGCTGGGCAGTGCCGGGCTAAAGACAACAACGTGTCATTTGCTTATTTAGCTTGGCTATCCCAATCCAAATCACACACATAAAAAAATAATATGGACCTGGTAGGCCGACTCAAGTGCCAATGGTGGCAGCCGTTGCTCCCTCGAAGCAGCATATTATATTCATATGCCGGTACGACGGGAGCCATGTGTCTAAATGTTGCGTGCCTCTCAGGAACGGAGCGCGGGGGAGGCTCACAGTTGCAATTGCAATGCACATTCTCTGATCAATGTGAGTGAGAAGCAATCAGCTCACAGAACTCACAAAACCAGCAAGACGAACAAGCCCACAATCGCAAAATATGAACACATGGCCATGGGTCAAAATCCCGAACCCCCAATGAACATCCCAGTCCCCACTAAAATAGGTTCTAAAATGGGTGGTGAATTCACCTACCCCAAAATGGGATCTGGGTTTTGCCAGCCACAGCCACGTGGAGAACCACGCAAACCGCCTTGACGTCATTCTTCAGAGTCTCGTGGGGCTGCTTCAGGTCTCCAAACTCACCTCGGGAAAGCTGACACACTTCGGGCTACGTGCCGCATTCAAGTACTACTGTTTTCTGCCTGGACGGCTTGCGCAAATGAATTGCCGGCGATCTTCCTTAGGTGCTTTTTTGAATGTTGGCATATGGCTCAGCAAAACCTCTCTCTTCTGAATTGCTTTGTAGATGCATTCATTGGGGGCAAGGCAAACTAGTTTAGAGCTCTAGGCCTGGATTGCCCTTCATCAGGCCACACCCAATGGGCTGCTTGCTGATGCCCGTGGCCAAGAAAGAAGAGACCGGGTGTGTTGTGCGTGACTTTGGTCTTGCTACTGCTTCGGTCAAGAATCAAGTTCATTAAGGAATCCGCAGCCAATCAGGTCCCCATCAAGAAAAATTTCTGCTTTGGCTGACTTGCCCCAAGCATCGACCAATCTCCACTCACTTAAATAACAACCAGCATGCGCGACCGCCCCTCCCAGCATCGCAAAAAATCGGCTGGGGGATGGTTCGGGCTTGGCTTAGTTTGCGCAATGCGCCCATGGCTGGCAAGTGCTGTTACCTTTGCACTGCTACTTTAGGAAAAACATCGCGTGGAATGGCTCGTGGTCACCTTGGGGCACCGGGTTACCTGCAAATTGGTGGCGGTTCACGTATCGCATTGGTCTGGGTTGCAGGTGCGAGTTTGATCCCTGAACTGACGGGATGATCTGTGATGTGTTCGTGTTGGTTGGGGGCACTACCCGGAGTTTTCGCTGGAAAGGTAGCTTGACCGGCTTCAAAGCATCGCACCCTGATGTCATGCGACTCCTTCTTTGCCACCAGCGAACACCTATGTAGCCAACAATCGAGATATCAAAACAGCCCAAATCAAGCCACACACCTGTGCCCGTTGAATTCCCATGGCAACCCCGTGGCAACGTTATTCCATGCTTTCTGTGCTCGCAAGCGCTTCGAGGTATTGGCCAAACACAATTGGCCAGATCGAAGGCAAGGGAAAGCTCATCGCGTCATGATGTGCTGCCCAACATCATGCTGTGCGCTTTTGAGGAGCAATGTCGTACATGCTAACACGCATCGGTCCAAACTGCCGCTGCTTTTGCTACCCAAGGTGCCGATGAACCAAGGCCTCGGCATGTAATTCATGCGCCGCATCAAACACATGATGAAACTGTGCCGCTCTGCCATTTGCCTTGTGATGCACAGAATCGGGTCTGGAATGCCATGGACCGTTGCATATGCCAGTCACACATCTTGCGCACCGTACCAGATCGTACCAGGGCTACCAAAACATCAGTGCGCAGGATGGAAACTGACAGCCGCTGTTCTTTGCAAACGCGCCCACACTAGCAAAGCACATACTCAAAACGGCGAGCCTGTTTCCAAACGGCGCGTAGTTCTTAGTAATGGTGTCCTTGACATAGCCTTGGCGCCAGGAGAATCACCCGCCCCGTGAATAGGAACAGCTTCTCACAGAGTCACCCTGCACGCCGTGTCCACGGGAAAAAAAAAACATATGTGACAAAAGCGCGATGTCTAGGCACCTATTACGGCAGGGTGAAAGTAGATTCTCTGTCCTTTTTTGTGTAAGCAAAGCGAACGACGAAATGCGCATGGGGTAAGCTTGCCTTCTACTCGGGTGATTAGTGCGAATGCCGAGTGTAGCGGCAGCATCCATTCTTGCATCCTGCTAGACTGACTCACACATACAGGCTGGCAGCAAAGTTCAGCATTTACACTCAACAGCACTGGCAAGCCACCCACGGAATTAACCAAACATAATAAATCAATTTACCTTTCTGGGGCTTTCCAGTTCCGCCACTGAGTAAAAAGTGGCTCTCCAGCCCAACAACTGAAATGTCTTGAAGAGCCACAGCCCACTGGCTCAACTTGTAGAACTTGAATGCCTGCAGTCGCTGGATGAAATTCTGCAATTGATGGCGGCAAATCTATTTCACCCATATGAAAGCCAGAAAAGTGACAGGCGTGGACCCTTGTCTGCAAGCAAGTCTTAATTATCAGGGAGATGACAGGACGCACCCACCATGTGCACCTTGAACTTCAGTCTCAACTCTAATTTCATTTGCGTTTGATATGTCGACACATGGCAGCCAAGCAAAGGCTTCCGTAGCTTCAAACACGCATGCTGGCCCTCTGAACACCTTCACACGCCAGCCACATAAAGTGCTTGAACATGTGCCGCTCCGTGTGCGGCTTGCACTCGTGCAACCCTGATCTGAAAGGGAAGGGAAGGGAGCTCAAGTCACCACAAGACACAAGACAAAGAAATATGTCATGTGCTCAGCACCCGGCACCAATGACACAATATGCTGAACACAAGCAAGTCACAAGACAAACAAGTAGCAGAAACTCCGGCAAAAACTTTAAGGGCTGGGCAAATACACACTAGCACCGAGTCAAAACCCACGCTAAACCAACCCGACCCCAAGCTCGCTTAAATTGGACGAGGATTGCATTGCGCAATCAAAGGAGTGGGCAGGAGCCTCTTCCAAAACTGGCCAATACTCATTCCTTGGCCCAAAAAACTGGGTCGAAGGCCCTCTTGCAATGTTCAACCAAAGAAACCTTTTCTGCCAAAGAGCCACAAAAACTCAACCCGGACACCGCAGCCCTAGGGCCGAATTTCTGCTTAGCTGCTCCATGGCGCCTGCACGTTCAGCCCGTTGACCCACCTGCCGTTCGATTCATCGAATGAACTTGGGACCCTGCAGTTCAAATTGGGGCGGTAAGTTCCAGCATTTCAACATATATCAACCAAAGGCCTGGAAATAAACAGGTTAGCCTGTTGGCTTGCTCTGACCGAATGTAGGCCAACAGTCGAAACCGACTGGTAGTACTGATGAGGGATATTGCCCTTGATGACATGTAGATCCCCCCGCAAGTGTTTCTTTCTGCTTCCGAACATAATTGAATGAAACGTTAACGGGGCCATGTTTTGCCCTCCGGGGCGGGAACAAGAAGCCTTACCATACGCCTCCCGCCTTTGAACATGATGGCTAGCCAAAGACACTTTGTCAAGTGATGTCACGTTCCCGCCCGCTGGATCCTGCAACAGGTGTCCAACCTTGCATTGGCCCATACTGCATAGGGAGTCTGCAACTCCAGTCGCTTCAGAGAATTGCCCGCCTATCTTCTAACATGCATGGTGGAGGCCCATAATGTTGCAACATCACCTGGGCACAAATCTGCTAACTCACCCTTGAACCCGGGGGCACTTGTCAAAGCACACCTGCCCTTGCTCAACTTCAAACACAGACACACACACACACACACACACACAAAGACGTGTTATCTAGTGCAAAACAACGAATCTCAGGTTCAGCATCCTTCATAGCAAAGTTCATTCACTGCAGAAGGCATCCCAGGCAAGAGAAGAATGCGAT